AGTTTACGAAACCTAGCAGCGTCGTTGACCCCTTCTATCGACTCACAGAAATTTACCCATGACTTTTTCTTCGCGCGTTTTATCTCACTCTTGTATTTATTGAAACTAACTCTGTAGGAGTTCCAATCAGTGTCGAGTTTAGACTTATGCGCCATGTTATACAGTCGTCTGGTCACTTTCCTGAGCTCACCAAGTTCTCAGTGTCGAGTTTAGACTTATGCGCCATGTTATACAGTCGTCTGGTCACTTTCCTGAGCTCACCAAGTTCCTTGTTCCACCACACTGGCCGGGATTTATTCCCAGGATGTGTGAGCGGACAGGATTCCTTATGGCAACATAAGAGAACGTCCGTTAGATTTTTCACGGTACCGTTGAGTTCCACAGCTGTTTCTAAGTTTGTGTTAAGAGTCAGCTGGGAGTTCGTTAGCTCCGTGAATTTCTCCCAGTTTGTTCTCCTTGGATTCCGATAAGGCTGTTGTCTATCTCCGTCAAAAGAGTACTCGAAGAGAATCTTTAAATGATCCGAGAAGGAACATTCATCAGATACCTTCCAATTTCTGATGACGGAGTCGTCTAGATTTGAGAGGGTTAAGTCGATGACCTCCTCTCTACCCCTAACTTTAAAATTCGGGTCACTACCCCTATTACATATACGTAAATCATAGGATAAAATGAAATCAAAAACGGACTCACCTCGTAAGTTGGTGTCCTTGCTACCCCATTGAAAATGGTGAGCATTTGCGTCGCATCCCAAGATAACATTGCAGGTGCTCGTCATTTCATCGAGCATCTTCCGTACACATGTGCCTGGTGGATCCCTCTCCTCAAAGGGCATATAGACTGAGGAGAGCAGGGTGGCCTTCCCCGTCTTGTTCTCCAGCCTCACAGTGCACATGTCACCATTGCTGTAATTAGATAGAAAGATTAAATTTAAGCCCTTCTTACCTACTATGCATGTTCTCACCTTGTCCCCCGTGGACGTGGCGAAGATATCAAAGTTGGCATTCCTTAGTCCAGAAACCATATTTTTATAAATATATGGCTCCTGAACTAAGGCAATGTCCACTTCCGAGTTCGTGAGGGACAGGAGTAGTTCGGCGGCTGCGGCCTTGCAGTGATGTAGATTGATCTGCATTATGCGCAGCCTACGCCGCTTCCCCACTCCTACTGAGTTTCGGTGGATGTGTTCAGTCGAAACCGAACCCATCCTGAACCGAAGTTCAGTTTCCCCTCACGCTCCCTGAGATACTTCTCCCCTGGTCAACCGCCACTCTCGCCACCATACCACCATCCTCGTTACAGGGAGTTAGATTGACCACAATCCAACTCGATGTAGTGAGGCTGGGGTTTTGTAGCGCCAGCATCTTCAGCAGGAGCTCCTTATCCACAGAAGGTGGGGGAACCCAGGCCGAAAGGATCCGTCTTGTCGGGATTTCTGCTAGGGAGACCGCTGCAAGGTTAGCTCCTTCCCAGAGTGCGCCAAAGCCACTAACTGTTTCCACAAGGAATTGCTGTGAATTGCTAAGGGAGGTGGTGTCTATACGACTCCTTATCTCCAGATCGATCAGTCTTTCGAGAGTCTTGAGGAGAAAGGATGATAGGCTAATGGGTCTATAGTCTTTTGTTGCAGAGTGGCTTGGTTTCCCCGCTTTGGGAATATAAGTAACCTTTACCTCGTTCCATAGATCCGGAACATACGAGAGAGTCAGACACGCAGTGTAAATCTTCTCAAGAATCAGATAAATACTTGGCGAGGCATATTGAAGCATCGCCGGTATGATACCATCCGGTCCTGGCGATTTATACGGCTTGAATGTGTTGACTGCCCATCGCATCTTATTTCTGTTAATCACCTAGCAGCGTCGTTAACTCCTTCTATAGACTCACAGAAATTTACACAAGACTTTATCTTCGCGCGTTTTATCTCACTCTTGTATTTATTGAAACTAACTCTATAGGAGTTCCAATCAGTGTCGAGTTTAGACTTATGTGCCCTGTTATACAGTCGTCTAGTCGCTTTCCTGAGCTCACCAAGTTCCTTGTTCCACCACACTGGCCGAGATTTCTTCCCAGGGTGTGTAAGCGGACAGGATTCCTTATGGCAACCAAGGAGAACATCCGTTAGATTTTTCACGGCCCCGTTGAGTTCCACAGCTGTTCCTAGGTTTGTGGTAAGAGTCAGCTGAGAGTTCGTTAGCTCCGTGAATTTCTCCCAGTTTGTTCTCCTTGGATTCCGATAAGGCTGTTGTCTATCTCCATCAAAAGAGTACTCGAAGAGAATCTTTAAATGATCTGAGAAGGAACATTCATCAGATACTCTCCAATTTCTGATGACGGAGTCATCTAGATTTGAGAGGGTTAAGTCAATGACCTCCTCTCTATCCCTAACTTTAAAGGTCGGGTCACTACCCCTATTACATATACGTAAATTATAGGATAAGATGAAATCGAAAACGGACTCACCTCGTTTGTTTGTGTCCTTGCTACCCCATTGAAAATGGTGAGCATTTGCGTCGCTATATATATATATATATATAATATAACGTTGCAAGTGCTCGTCATCTCATCGAGCATCTTTCGTACACAGGTGGCTGGTGGGTCAATCTCCTCAAATGGCATATAGACTGAGGAGAGCAGGGTGGCCCTCCCCGTCTTGTGCTCCAGCCTTACAGTGCACATGTCACCATTGCTGTAATTAGATAGAAAGATTAGATTTAAACTCTTCTTACCTACTATACATGTTCTCACCTTGTCCCCCATGGACGCGGCGAAAATATCAAAGTTGGCATTCCTTAGTCCAGAAACCATATTTTTATAAATATATGGCTCCTGGACTAAGGCAATGTCCACTTCCGAGTTCGTGAGGGACAGGAGTAGTTCGGCGGCAGCGGCCTTGCAATGATGCAGATTGATCTGCATTATGCGCAGCCTACGCCGCTTCCCCACTCCTACTGAGTTTCGGTGGATGTGTTCAGTCGAAACCGAACCCATCCTGAACCGAAGTTCAATTTCCCCTCACGATCTCTGAGGTATTTCTCCCCCGGTGGGTCAACCGCAACTCTCGCCACCATACCACCATCCTCGTTACAGGGAGTTAGACTGATCACAGTCCAACTCGATGTAGTGAGGCTGGGGTTTTGCAGCGCCAGCATCTTCAGCAGGAGCTCCTTATCCACAGAAGGTGGGGGAACCCAGGCTGAAAGGACCCGTCTGGTTGGGAGACCGCTGCAAGGTCTGCTCCTTCCCAGAGCGCGCCAAAGCCACTAACTGTTTCCACAAGGAAATCCTTGGATTTCTTGTTTAGACAGTTAATGACTTTGGCACCCTTCTGCATGAAGGCACTACCAAACTGTCGGTCCCCTTGGTCCGTCCCGCAGACGATAGCCGACCGAAGGGCTCCTTCAAATAGCAACCAATGACTTTCACTGATTCTGCCCTGAGGATCAGCTTTGTCAATGATCGCCACAAGAAGGTCTTCTTCAGTGGCTACCTTTGTTGGTCTATCATACGGCTTACGCTGTCGTTGACTACGAAACTTGAAGGTCGCCTTTCCAGAGGAGGTTGAAGCCTTCTCCGTACTTAGTCATTTCCCCTCAGTTTGTTGTCCAACGCAAGCCGCATAAGAGGTAGAAGGGTCTACCAGACGAGAAGTCATCGTCTTCTTGGGTGAGGGTTGCGGACCTTCTGAAGAGCGGGTGCGCTTCACAGATTTATTCTGTGGGGCGACATCTGCTCCCCCAGGAGATGATGGTTCCTTTACTGGTTTCCCCTTCTTCCTGTTTCGACCACTTTTTGGTCCACCCAGAGCTTTTTCCTCACCCTTGTCACTAGGCGCAGAATCAGGCTTTGAGACAGTACCCTTCGCATGTTGATCACCCTTATGGGTGCCATCCTGCTTTGGGATACCCTCAATTGCCTTTTCCTGTGCTTTCTTACTCGGGTTCGGATCAGAACTGGGCTTCGGGTCAGAAATCGGCTTAGCACCTTTGTCAGAGACAGTGGGCTTCGCCGATTCTACTACTTTTGTGCGAGCAGTGAGATTCGGGAGGGAGATCTTGTCCATCTCGAGTTCACGATGGAGAGCGTGAGCATAGATTCTCTCGAATTTCCTCACATATCTCATCTCACCCTTGATGAGGTGAACCTCCCTCTCAGAGATCAAATTTGCGAAGATACGAAACAGCACGTTTGTAATGCTTCGCATCGGTCACTTCTCGGGCCTTCCCAACCTTCGAGCCACTGTCCGTTTCCGGGGGATCAACAGATTCCCCATCGTCGGACATCACCTCTGTTGCAGATTGCCTCTGAAGTTTGTCAGCAGGTGCCGACACAGGACCTGTTGAAGACAGACTGGAGGTCGGTTGGACAATAGGGTCCACATTTCCTTCGTTGCTGCTATGGCCACCCCCCTGTGTAGACTTGGCTGGGATCACTGTGGTGTCCAGCTCATCATCAGTTAGGGTAAAATTTAATAGCAGTTCCTCCGGAAGCGTGTCCCCACATTGCTCTTCCGGTACTGGTCGAAGAGTTCCTTACTTTGTTCCTCTAGACTATCGCGGATAGCGCGTAGAGTCCCGTGTAGGTCGTCCCCTCCTAGAACTGCAGTCCTGTCAGTCAAGGACTGATTTTCATCAGTCTTGACATTATCGTTAGCCAAAAGAATTGTCGGTTCGTCAATGTTTTGTTTTGGAGTTGATGCACTTGTAGCAGGTACGGCTGTAGGTGCCAAGGCATCCACACCTAGAACAGCCGGATCACAATCGCTTGATCTCGACGACACGTGGCTTGTGACCTCATCAACGATTGCCGCCGGTACTGGGTTATTAACTCCCTGCACCGTAACTTTATTCTTTTTACTTCGTTTTCCCATCGTAGTTGATTTATTTAAGGGCACTACCCCGAACCATTTTGGTCCACGGGATCCGAAGATCCCCAGGGTTTCCACAAGGTACAGAGAAAAGTTGATCTAGGAGACCTAGGTCAGTTTCTCTCTGCACATCATGGAGACCCCCTTCCCATCCGCCACCCGGGAAGACGCGCCTAGTGGGAGATTGGCAACTCCCCTAGGTTATTTACCCCTTACTCATATATTCAATGTTTCGTTATCATTAGGATATTTTCCTCAATTTTGGAAATGTAGTTCTATAATTCCCTTTCATAAATCTGGTAGTAGATGTAACATTGAAAAATACAGAGGTACGAAATTAATTGATATACCAAAGCTTTTTTAATTGCCTCTATAGTATCTCCTTATCAATATGGCTTTATAATTGGAAGATCAACATAAATAAATATTTTAGAGCTGACAAATTATATTCATAACGGCTATACAAATAAACTTCAAACTGATGCAGTCTATACAGATTTTAGTAAACCCTTTGTCACTGTCGTACACAAACTATTACTGGACAAAGTCGATATTATACGCTTCCCATCCATGTTCTTGAAATGGATGAGAAAATGAAATGGATCTGATTTTGAAAATTATGGTTACAGGGAACATAGTATTTTCAAATCTGCAATTTACATATTTGCTACAAACATAAAAAAGTTGTAGCAACAATAGTTATAGTTTCTCGAACCAGACAAAAATTCTTCCAAGGTTTTTAATCAAATTTTTCATTTTCTTTTATTTAAAGATATATTTTTCACATCCTCATGTGCATTCCAAATTACGAAATGGTAGTACAAAGGGAGGCCGTGGAAATTCAAGATCTTCAACTTCTACAGAAAAGAACGGAGGAGGTTCCTCTGTTTCATCCGGCAATGGAGGCTCTACACCCAGCACGTCGCCAACAGCATTTTTACCACCTCGTGGAGAGAAGCGAAAATCAAAAGATGAGCCGGCATCACCTTTAAATACTGATAATGAAACGTTGGCTACACCAATGGTGAATGCAAGTGGTATTCCAATTTCTCTTACTGGAGGAGGATTAGCAAATCAACCACAAAGTTTGATAAACCCGGTAACTGGTCTTAATGTCCAAATAAATACAAAAAAATGCAAGAATACAACGCCATGTGCTATATCACCTATATTATTGGAATGCCCTGAGCAGGATTGCAGCAAAAAGTATAAGCATGCTAATGGTTTACGTTATCACCAATCGCATGCCCACGGAAGTATTTCAATGGTCGACGATGATTCCATGGCAGATATTGACGATTCTAACATAACCCCTATTCCCAGCCCAGTATGCATAGCATCAGCTCCAACAGATTCTGAAGTCGTAGAAAATGTATCGTCAATAATAATACCGCAAACGTCAACACTTAACATTTCAGATCCCTCAAAATTGTCGCAGAGAAAATCGAGCGACCAAGAAACCGAGTCGTCCCCGTCGGTCCTTTTGGAAAATGCTATCGAAGCCGAGAGTGAAATAATATCTACCGTCAGTGATGACATTATACAAAATGATCCTGCTCTATCTAAGTGCCCAAAAGTACTTAATGTTTCTAATAATACCCCTGAATTGGCTTCTCCTTGTCAGCCAGTAAATGTTTCTGACAACGATGTTGACTTAAATGTGATTTCGAAAGTAGAACATTCTTGTGAAGATGGTTCTGAGCACAACCAAAGTGGTAAGTATACATCTGACTACGTTGTTACATAATTCATACATTTATTTTGTACACTACACATGTACTGTATTATTATATTTTACATATTTAGTACTAGCTGACCCGGCAAAATAGTCAGGCTGAGTCACAGTTTGTTATTTTTATATAAAAAAACCAGTGAGCGGAGCAGTATATTGGGACGGGGCCGACCATGCGATACCCTACACAACTACCACGTAATCTAACTTTCTGAGGATGTTTATTCCGAGTCTGAGTAATATTTCGTGATATTTGCCCCCTCTTGTCCGATTAGAGGTTAACAACACCTCTACCTTACTTTTTTCGAATATTCAGTACAGTCCTTCTAATTACTTGTCCAGATTACCTTCACGGTGGGTTGTGTTGTGATTTTCGGATTATACTCGACTCGAAAACACACAAAAAATTAAGTTTTCGGTCCATTTCATCCCAAAATTTTAATCTGATCATCACCGAAAATTGTAGGCGTTGTTCTTGATCATAACTGGAACTTCATGAAAAATTTCAAAGCCATCAGCGCGACATTTCTCCCTCTAATGTGGTAATGGGTTACTGAATAATATCTGAATACGTAAGCACCTGTAAATATTTGACTGTAACTCCCACATCTGAGTAGATACATCACTATATTTGGTATCAATTTAAAGGCCAACCACTCCTCTTGGATATGCTATCAACTCCTGGGGTCTACATCCTCCAGGAGTAAATATGTATGCCATAGAATACAAATTTTGTCATTTTTCACACAAAAGTCAGGGTCCATTTGATTGACCGATCTTTATCAAAACATGCATGCTTATTCTCTGACCCGATCCCCTTCTCCATGCAAAAATTCGCGGTGTTTGGGCCATAATTGCGGCCTCTGGAGCGACCAGAAAAACCGACAAAAATTTAGTATTTGGTCCATTTCATCCCCTAAATATTAACCGATCTTTTCCAAAACAATAGGGGTCTTCATTGGCCTGAACCCATCCTACATGCAAAATTTCGTGAAGATTGGACCATAACTGTGGCCTGTATCGTGTTTACAAATTATAATGGACAGACGGACGGACACACATGTCTAGATCGACTCAGCTAGTCGAGATATGACGATCTGTATACTTAAAGGTGGGTCTAGGACCAATATTCCGCGGCGTTACAAACTTTTGGGGCTGCACAAAGCTATAATACCCTGACAACATAGTTGTGTAGGGTATAAATAGCAAATGGAAATTTTCAATATTAGTAAGAATTTTGTACAATTTAATTTCCAAAAACATTAATAAAAAATCCAAACGATACCTATAAAACATGTTCCAAAAAATTTATTTTGTTTAGAGATTGTGTTGTGTGAAAGCGCTTGAAATTTCGTTCAACTTCTTTTGCCTGTAAAAAGTTTAAAAAAAAAACCAAAATTAATTTTCTTTCGCATTGAAAGCGAAATAAACCTTTCTTTCGCAATACATAAACAGGCTGAAAGATAATTTTTTATAATAACTTTAAATTTATCACTAGGAATAAGTACAAATTAAAGTTCCAAATCCATTATTTTTCCTATACTAAATTTTAAGAGTTCAGATCTATTCGTAAGATTCTATTCGTTCACTCACTAGATTTATTATTATTTTATTTGTTTATTAATCAATCAAAAATCCTTATAAGGACTACAAATTAATGGAGAGATTTAGTATTATATTGTAATTTTTGGTATTATACCACCTCCTACAAAGCTCATCATCACACACTAATAGCAACCCCAAAACCGAAGTTCAAGACTGGATAGAGTAACTTGGGTTAATGTGGACCATTTTCTTTTTTTGATATTGTGAGCGTAACAACGGTAAAAAATAAAAACCAATTGTTTTCACAACATAGTAGATTTGTTGGCTAAATATATTCCAGGTCAAACATTATATATATATATTTGTCCATAAAAATGTAATTGCATTATATTTCAAAAAACTATACTGCGAATAAAAATAACTTGGCGGGTAATGTGGACCAGTATATGTGGGTAATGAGGATCAGTAAGTTAAAGGCAGGTTGTGATAAATTTCAATTTATTGCACTCTTGGGTAACAATAAATGCAAAAATATATGGGTTCATGTTTCGGAATAGTCCTCATTTAAGAGTACGGTCCCATTTGTGGTATTTTGAAAGTCATTGCTTCATTATCCAACCGCGGCACCTTTAATTTGGCATATGGAGTTTTCAGGGGATAGAATACCTCATCGCATATTAAATGCGCACATGTTTCGAAATCGTCCTCATGAAAAGGTCCCACTTTTTTATAGTGGTCCACATTACCCGACATTGAATATTTTTATTTAAAAATAATTATCGGCTTCAAAAATGAATAAAAATTTAAAATCACTGATTGCAATTACAGGTAAACGTATATTTTTGTTAAAGAAACAAGAAAACCGCATAACCCCATTATATTCGAGAAAAACAAAGAGTTCGACTATTTTGCAAAAACGTTCGACTATTGTGCTAAAAACTGTTAAAATTACACTTTTACAATCAGATTTTCTACTACTAAATTTTCAACATTGCAATTATTATTTAAAACCAAGTTTCATGTTTGTTTTTTACTAATAAGGAACACATTTATCACGGCGGCATTGAAATATTTCAAGCATTTTCTTAGATATGGGGTGTGGCCCACATTAGACGCATAGTCCACATTACCCGAAGTTACTCTATAATTCGTATTCTAAATGTACTTATGTTAAATGTTTTCGTACTATTAAAGCACCACACATTAATTTTATAATTTAAATTTAGAATGTTAAACATTTAAACAATGTACAAAAATATTCAGTAATTACTCAAAAAATAATTTACAAAATTTAAAACAATTAAATTTAAAATTTAATGTAATTAATTAAAATTTAATTTAAAACAATATTACACATCATTTATGGGATAAAATCGTTTAGTAAAATAGTTGGCAGCTATTTAGAGTTTTGTCAAATACTCTTTAAAAACAATAACGGTACTTTCCACATTTCCAAAAGCATTTGCTCAGTGCAACAAGTGAAAGAAAATATTTTTTAAATGCCTAGAAAAGAACTAACTATTGAAGAGCGAAAATAATAATTAATAACCATGAAATGGGAAAATCCTATTCCGAAGTAGGTAAAATGATAAACAGAACCAAATAAGCAGTCCAAAAAGTAGTTAATCGATACAAAAAAGGAAATATAATTAAAAATAAACCGCGATCAGACCGTCCCAGGAAGCTCAACATCAGAGAGGAACGATAAATTGAATGTATTTTAAAAAAGGATCCATTTACCAGCTCTCCAAAAATCGCTGCAGATTTTAAAAAATCATTTGGGAAAGCAGTTTCAGCAGACACGGTACGTAGGTGCATCAAGAAGTGTGGATTCAATGCTCGCACTGCCCGCAAAAAACCACTTATTAACAAAACAAACAGAAAGAAGCGTGTCGATTTTGCAAATGATTATAAAAACAAGACAAATGAGTTCTGGGAAAAAGCTATTTTCTCGGACGAATCGAAATTTAACATATTTGGGTCGGATGGACGCTCTTTGGTGTGGCGGAAAAAAGGCGAAGAGCTCAATCCAAAAAATACTCGGACAACAGTAAAGCACGGAGGGGTTGGAGTAATGGTATGGGGATGCATGTCAGCAACTGGTGTTGGCAATTTGGTATTCATTGAGGAAATAATGAATAAAACAGTTTACATGAATATTTTGAAACAAAATTTGAATCAAAGTGCTGAAAATCTCAACATTCGTGATAATTATTACTTCCAAAAGGACAATGATCCAAAACACACTACTATTGGCGTTAAGAATTGGATCGTATACAATACACCAAACATGCTGATAACACCTCCACAAAGCCCCGATTTAAATCCGATTGAGCACCTATGAGATCATCTAGATAAACGAATCCGAAATCATACAATATCCAGTAAGGCCCAACTCAAAGAAATACTTCTGACAGAATGGGGTAAAATATCGTCCGACAACACTAAAAAACTTGTATACTCAATGCCCGAACGATTGAATGAAGTTTTAAAACTTAAGGGGTATCCTACCAAATATTAGTTAAGTCAATTTAATTGTAAAAATTTAGTAATATTAAATAATTCATTATTTTTCTCCTGGGGTACCAAGACTTATGCTGTGCAAAAATATGCACTTGGCACTATGTCTATTTTGTTTTATATTTTGTTTTAATAAAAAAATAAATATTACTTTAATTTGTTGTAGTATAGGATTGAATACATGAAATAAAAACATATATTTAAAATGTTGTGAATTACTTTTTGAGGAATTACTAAATATTTTTTGATTAGTATGGGGTACCATGACTTTTGCTGCTCACTGTATGTAAAAGTGTATTTTCATTGTCATTCTTAATAAAATGTTTATATTTCCAGAAAACTTAGGAGTATTGCGATACGGACAGCCAGATTCTGCAGACAGTGCCCCAAACATTGCGTCTATAGAAAACGAAGACACCTTAAGCCAAGCTCGGCAAGATGAGTTTACAGCTGAACAGGGAAAGTCGAGGCCTGTGTCAAATCCTTTGTGTAAAGACAATTGTAGTGTGCAACAACAAATAGAAAAGAACGATACAGTGGGTGTTAGTAACGAAATATCTGCTACTAATTCTAAGGAAAATAACACATCTTCCAAGTCACCTGTTATTGCCAAACAAAAAAAACCTAGGAAGTCTCCTGGTCTTGGTGAGTTTGATGTTGATGGGTTCAGCACGTGTAATATGCCTTCACGCGAAGAGGTCCAAAGTCCCGCTTACAGTGACATATCCGATGATTCTACTCCTGTAAACGAACATCAGATTCCTGAGAAAGCTCTTCCACAAAAAACATCTGACATGGCAAAAAAATCTCCTGAAATTATTTTATCTTCGGGAGCTGGTTGTTCCTCTAATATTCAAACTGCAGTCACATCATCTCTAAGTGGATATGGTGTTTATCAATTTTATCAACAGCAGCAGTTCTTGGGACAACCACCAATTGAACAGCAGTCCAATAAAAATAGTATATCAGGAAGTGCCATTCATCAGTCACTCTCTGTGTCTTGTCCAGCACAGCAGTCACCTAATAACATTGACATTAACAGAAAAGATCCTGCCTTGGATTTAATAACAAAACCAACATCTGCAACTTTACATGATTCAAGCACTTCGTCACATGATATTAAGGATGCAAGTCAAATTCAGTCTTCTACAGCACCGAATCAAGTTCCAACCAGTTTGCCATTAGCGTCGAGTACTATAAATTCTGCCCCAAAACCTGTTTCACATTTTTATTCATTTAAGTAAGTAGTAGCAATCACTTTAATTTATAGAAAATATGATTTTTATTTCACAGAATACTCATTTTTTTAGAAAATTACAAGCAAAAATTGTAATTGTATTCGTGTTTTTCGTATATATTATGGTAATTTAATATGGATAAAAGCTATTTGTTTATACATACGTAGGGAAAGGGAAAATTGGGAAATAGTAGTTGGATAAGTCTATATTTACCGCATTATTATTTTGCAGGATAAACCATTTCTCCAAAAATTTTCCAGGTAATTTGTTTTCTTATATCATCTGACAAGTGACAGTTGCAACTTTTCCAAAGAATGCTTACTTAGAGCCTAGTTTGAAGTACTGGAATTCTCTAAATTGGCAAAGATTTAGCACGGTTAAAATCCAGTAATAATTGAATGTTTTCCTGTTTGTTCATAATTTTCTTAGAGGCTGAACAGAGTCAGATAAAGTGACTTTAGAAAAAATTAGGATGTACAGTAAAGTACTGTTATAGCGAACAAGTAGGGACCAGGCAAATTAGTTTGTAATAGAAGAAGTTCGTTATATCCAATGTAAGGAATACCCTAGGACAAACTGGAAAAAATATATTCAGTTCCGAAATAGACAGTTTTTGTGTTCTTCTTGGCAATATTTAAGCTGCTTCTCTTTTTCTTTGACGAACCTGACATTTTTTGCAAAGGTTGCAGTGTTAGGATACAAAATTACATTTTGTGCAGATTGTCATCGTTAAGTATCATGTATATTTGTAACAAGTTCGTTTTAAACGATTCAAAATAAATAAAATTTGAAATTTTGGACCCAATAACTAGTTTGTTATAAAGAAAGTTCGCTTCATGACCAGAAAGTTTGTTATAACCGGTGTTCGTTATAAGCGTACTCGACTGTATTCCAAAAATATTGTTTATTTAAAAGAAAGAATACGAATTTATAATAGGTTTCCATATAGATCAAATTATAATAATTGTTTATATCATAGTCTTCATTAAACTGAATAACAATATTCGATCGATCCCACGGCAGCGGGTTCTACGATACCGGATTGACCCGATTTATTTCGGCCAGCGGCTGCCAACCCAGTTATATATGTTTGTATTGTTTTTCTGTTTTGGGAGCAACATATCCCGGAATGCTTGCTCCGGATTCTTTTGGTCCGTGCCGGGATCGAACAAAACCCCGGACCGTGGTTCTGTTCGGTTTGCCAGAACATCATTCACCACAGGTCAGTGCCGGTGAGATGTAATGGGTGCAGGGAGTGGGTGCACTTCAGGAATTGTCCCGGGTTGGCCCGGTTGCGAGATTACAGCGATAGGGATTACGTTGCCTCGTGCTGCGACAGCACGATCCCCAGTGAGTCTTCGTCTATGTCGTCGTCTTCTTCGTCGGAGTACGGAACTCCACCGCAGTCTCCCGAACAGCACCCAAGTATGCAGCACTTAACACCGCACGTTGCTGTTCCCACCCCTGATAGTGCATCGTTTCTGCAATTTAATTGCAACGGTCTTCGAGGAAAAATAGAAGAGATAGTGGATTTCATGAATCGGAAGATTATTTTGGTCGCGACGGTGCAGGAAACCAAGCTCAATGAAAATTGTAGCCTACAGCGTTGTGATGGTTACAACGTTCTGAGGAAGGATCGCACCAGAAGTGGAGGTGGAGGCCTAGCAGGAGGATTCAGAGAGTTCACCAACCAGCGCTTCAGAGAACTTTCCATTCCTTCTGATGTACGGGTAGCAGAAAGGAAATTCCGAGGCATCATCACTGCTGAAGCTGCTAGATTTATACCTGCTGGTCGAATACCCGAGATGAGACCCAATTTCCCAGCAGAAGCAGTTGGTCTGGCAAATGAGCGTGATGAGCTCCGTCGATCTAACCCAGCAGATCCCAGGGTCAGGGAACTTACGTTGGAGGTCAGCAGATTAGTCGCGGAGCACAAGCGGAATAAATGGTTGGAGCACCTGAAGAGTTGCAACATTGGTACCGGAGTAAGTAAACTGTGGGCAACGGTTAAGTCGCTCTCGAATCCTGGTAAGAAGGATGATAGGACCTCAGTCACATTTAACGACGAAACTGTGACTGATCCGAAGAGATGCGCAAGCCATTTTAATCGACAGTTCGTCGAGCATCCCGAGAGCGACAGGGCGAAGAGAAGAGTACTTCGTCGTATAAGATCTCTTCCAGCCGAGGAGGTACCACCACAGTTTACGATGGGTGATGTTGCATGTGTCATCCGTAACGCGAAGTCATCAAAAGCGTTGGGCCCAGATGGAATATCCATGTGTATGCTGAAGCAGCTGGACGAGCCAGGAGTCGAGTACTTGACCAACGTCCTTAACTTGTCGATAGCCACCCACGTCGTCCCCGAAGCCTGGACTATGGGCAGGGTGGTCCCGCTACTGAAGCCGGGCAAGGATGCCAGCAAAGGTGAATCGTACAGGCCGATATCACTTTTGTCGCCAGTAGCGAAGACTCTTGAGGCTTTACTCCTCCCCAGCATTAGAGAAAGCTATCAAGTTGCGGATCATCAACATGGATTCCGTAAGCAACACAGTACAACAACAGCGTTGCACGCCATTTCCACGCATATAAGTAGAGGACTTAACCAGAACCGGCCGTGCGATAGAACAGTGTTGGTAGCGCTTGACCTATCAAAAGCCTTTGATACTGTCAACCATGCCACGCTGTTTGAGGACATAGAGAACACTTCCCTCCGGCCGAGTTTGAAACGTTGGATAATCAACTATATGTGTGGACGCCAGTCGTACGTGGAGTTCCGGAACAAGAAGTCCAAACCCCGTAGAGTTAAACAGGGAGTTCCCCAGGGTGGAGTGATTTCTCCGGAACTGTTTAACCTCTACCTTTCCGGTATTCCACGCCCTCCGGACGTGTGAGGATGTGTGAGGTTGAACGCCTATCTCATCGATTTGGCAGCCTTTTTCAAAGCGAGGAATATGAAAATATCCGCCTCGAAGTCATCAGCCACACTATTCACCACATGGACTGCGGAGATGAGAATGCCGTTGAATGTGCAGATCGAGCGGCATACAATTCCGACCACCAACTACCCCAAAATACTCGGGGTCACATTCGACAGCATGTTCAAATCGTCCGCGCAAACCACAGCTATCTGCGATAAGCTGAAAGGTAGGAACAAGGTCCTCAAGTCGCTTGCCGGCAGCACTTTGGGCGCAGATAAGGAAACCTTGTTGACCTCTTACAAAGCGATAGGTCGGTCTGTGGCTAGCTATGCGGTTCCAGTGTGGTCTGCGAATTCCAGTGATACGCAATGGAGAAATATTCAGACCTGTCAGAATGCCGCCCTGAGGACAGCGACAGGGTGCCTCCTCATGACACCAGTGGACCATCTTCATGAGGAGACGAAGATCCTTCCCGTACGTCAGCATAGCAATATGCTTTCGCTGCAGTACCTGCTCGGGTGTTTCAGGGACGATCATTTCAACCATCATATGGTGGATAGGACTCCCCCACCCAGGCGTGTCAGGAAGGATCTGCATGATCCAGAGAGAGAGAGGTCCAAAGATACAAAAGGGAGGCTCTAGATCAAGTTGCCTATCGAGCAGGTCTGAATGGCATTCATACAGATGCAGTAGCCGCAGCGCTGAACGGTTACAAAGTGAATGCCGTCCTCAGAGCTCACCCCCCACCCATAGCAGCTGAAGAACGTCAGCTGCCCAGACAAACCAGAGTAGTTTTGGCTCAGTTACGTTCTGGATGGTGCAGTCGGCTCAATTCGTATTGGTCACGGATTGATGACCAGGTGCAGGATATCTGCCCAGCATGTGGTACAGGCCCTCATACCACACTGCACTTGTTCAATTACCCAGCCAAACCTACTCACCTCACTCCGGAAGATCTGTGGTTACAGCCAGTAGAGGTAGCTGCATTTCTGAATCTGGAGACAGAACTGGAGGAAACATAACAGAAAACATACAATTCATATAAACTGCTACAACAACAACAATATTCGATTTGTGATTATGGTACAACTCTTCCCGTGAACTTTATTAGTTTATGTAAGAAAGCGATTGTCACCGACGATGTTATTGCAGAATTCAAGTGATTTTTTTCTTTACGTAGGCGATCACATTAAGGCTTCAAGTGTTTTTGTCTATTCCCTATATGTCACATAACACTAATTTTATTTTTATGTTATATTTTGTACTTTCTTATCTATAAAAACATTAACGATTTATTTTTCTAACAAATGCTTAATACAACAATGGATTTGACATGTGAAAAAAAATTCCTTACTGCCCAGTAATGGTCTAAAAAACTATATATCTTTTTATTTTAAGTATCCCTTTACTTTTTCCACATACACAAAATATAAATATTAATAAAACAATATATTTGTTCGAGCTTGAGGTCTAGTTTCTTTTTTATTTTTCGCGTTCAATATTTCGCATCCTCAGGATAATCTACAAACACTAGTAACCAAATATGTTGACGATCTTTTTGTGATACTGGGGGAAGATGCAATAACAGATATCTTGACTATTTTAAACAGCTACAACAACAATATAAAGTTTACAATGGAGAAAGAGAACAGATGCTTACCGTATTTGGACACGGTGGTGTATCAAAATAAGGGTAAATTGGAACTAGACTGGTACCAAAAACCCACGGCATCGGGGAGGATCATAAACTTCTTTTCTAAACACCCAAAACAGATAATAATGAACACGGTCAACAACTTACCAAACAGATTTTTAAAAATAAGCGATGAAAAGTTCCACGAAACCAACGAATTTAAAATTAGAGAAATTCTATCGAATAACAATTTTCCAGCCAGCGTAATCAACAGAATACTAAATAATCAGACACTACGAAGGAAACAGCCACGAACTGAGAAGGAAAGGTTTTACAAATCAAATAAAATACTCTAAAAACGTTTTTTTTTCAACACGAGAAGCAAGATACAAAAATTGGAAAAACACAATGTTATCTATAAAATAGAATGTGATGGAAACGATGAAGAAAT